AGGTCAACAAATCTGAAGACATCAACAAGTGTCGTTGCTTCCAAGGTTAAGAATGAAGAGATTGTGCCTGAAAGTAAGACTCCTTCATTTGGTGAGGTCACCAATACAACATCAGCACATAAAACAGATTTTCCTCAGATAGAAACTGAAGCTGAATGTAGCAATTCTTTATTTACCGATGGAAATGAGATTACTCGTGAAGTTGATTATTGTATTGATGAGAATTCAGATGTAGAGAACTATGAAATGGAAATTCAAACTGTCAAATCCGAACCTGCAGAAGAGGGAGAAGACAGATTGTCTTTATCTAGTATTAGTAAACAAGTTGAAAACGCGCACTTCATTGATGATGGTATTAACTTGTGGGATGACTATGGTTACAGTCAACTCGTTGTAAATTCTCAGGAAAATGCTCTTGCACGTGTCGAGGAAGACCTTGATGACTTGTACAGCACCCAAATCGAGAATTTGGAAGGGAATGACACCATTATGTCACGTCCAGACGCTAACGATATGGCTGTTCCAGATGAAGCCATCCCAAATGCAAAAGCCAAGAAACATGTTACATTTGCCGATGATGCAAACTCAGCCAATACAGTGGCAGGTCCCAGACCATCTGTCAGCCAAGCAGCCAACACTAAACCCACTAGAGCCCTCTCAGAAGACGAGTTATTCCGTGAGATTTTAAACTGGAAAGCAGAGCGCCTCTGCAACAAACAAAGCAATGGAAGGCCTGCTAGTCTACCTCACAACAACTTTTTGGTACATCGTGTTCCAAATTACTTTGACTCCATTGACCATTATTACAAGATATTCAAGCCTTTGTTGCTCATGGAAATCTGGGAGCAGGTATTTTCATAAATTTGTTTTTTAGTCTAATGTAACATTTCACAAACAGCTGGTGTGTCCAATATCTAGGCAGCAGTCTGTATTCTTAACGAGGGTCCGACAATGTCATTGAATATTACTCCGTGCATTTATAATTTGTTGTACTAGGGAAAATCGAGGTAGTGTACAATCCAAGGACCCTTAGATTTAAATGAAAACGTTTCCCTCTTGGATGCGTGCTATACTAGAAGTTGTCGTTCTAACAGTAATTTATTGCTCTTTGGTTTTGGTACGGACACTGGTAGACATACTAGCTGGCAAACAGGCTAATATAACATTGTTTGCAAGAGAGTTATTACACATCTTGTTAATCCTTGAGGAAAACCACTGTTCTAGGCTATTGGTAGTTGGTGGGACAAGCATTTGGACAGGAAACGTGTAGTCATGGATGTTCTCGATGGAAGCAACGCGAACAGCTTCTGGCTCATCCCCTGCAGTGGTGTCATAAATGAAAATCAGCACAAAAATGCCTTGTTCCCTTTGGAGAGCGATTTAGTTCTTTTGACGCTTGCGGCCACTGATGGAAGAGGTGAGAGTAACCAGTCATAGCCATATGCCAGACGCTAAGCACACACATATACGCAATGCAGACCTATGTGTTGTGGGAGACACAAGAACCCAGTTAGTTACACTAAGTAAAGGCGTTTTATAGCAGAGATGATTGTAGCTGTTTATAACTGGTCTAGGGGTAAAATAGTTTGGACTGCCCATTTGTGCCAGATACCCAAAATAGCACATACCCAAGGGNGTGAGATTTTAAACTGGAAAGCAGAGCGCCTCTGCAACAAACAAAGCAATGGAAGGCCTGCTAGTCTACCTCACAACAACTTTTTGGTACATCGTGTTCCAAATTACTTTGACTCCATTGACCATTATTACAAGATATTCAAGCCTTTGTTGCTCATGGAAATCTGGGAGCAGGTATTTTCATAAATTTGGTTTTTAGTCTAATGTAACATTTCACAAACAGCTGGTGTGTCCAATATCTAGGCAGCAGTCTGTATTCTTAACGAGGGTCGGACGATGCCATTGAATACTACTCCGTGCATTTATAATTTGTCGCACTACTGAAAAGCGAGGTAGTGTACAATCCAAGGACCCTTGGATTTAAATGAAAACGTTTCCTTCTTGAGTGCGTGCTATACTAGAAGTTGTAGTTCTAGCAGTAATTTATTGCTCTTTGTTTTCGGTACGGATACTGGTAGACATACTAGCTGGCAAACAGGCTAATATAACATTGTTTGTAAGAGAGTTATTACACATCGTGTTAATCCTTGAGGAAAACCACTGTTCTAGGCTATTGGTAGTTGGTGGGGCAAGCATTTGGACAGGAAACGTGTAGTCATGGATGTTCTCGATGGAAGCAATGCCAACAGCTTCTGGCTCATCCCGTGCAGTGGTGTCATAAATGAAAATCAGCACAAGAATGCCTTGTTCCCTTTGGAGAGTGATTTAGTTCTTTTGACGCTTGCAGTCACTGATGGAAGAGGTGAGAGTAACCAGTCATAACCATTTGCCAGGTGCTAAGCACACACATGTACGCAATGCAGACCTATGTTTTGCGGGAGACACAAGAACCCAGTTAGGTACACTAAGTAAAGGCATTTTATAGCAGAGATGATTGTAGCTGTTTATAACTGGTCTAGGGGTAAAATAGTTTGGACTGCCCATTTGTGCCAGATACCCAAAATAGCACATACCCAAGGGTTAACATGACTTCAACATTTGACTTGGGCAATTCGACTTGGGCTTGGATTTCACTCGGCCACTGGGCCAACCAGTAACCTCTCCGTACTTCATCAATATAGCCAGCTATCGGCTGCAGCATCTGTAATTGAAAACCAAACCTATTGGGAAATGCAAAAGCCCTTGTACAGTGTTAACGATTTTCTCTTCCTTGTTGATTTCTCTTTTGCAGCTGGTAGTAATGAGCAGTCATACTCCGGCCGATCAGTGTTTGGTTTTGTGGAGAAAGCTGACGTTAAAAGAGTTCAGTCAACCAGAAATGGTGGAGATGATAGTACGAGTGGATTTCCGCAGTAATCCCCTTCCCCAATAAAAATAAACCCGCAGCAATCAAAGAAATAAAAAGTCCTTCCAAACTTTCCCCTCCCAAATGAAAGCCCATTCTCGGCTTGTATCTAGTTTTGTTATTGTAATTTTTCAGAGAGCTAAATTTGTTCTGTATTTACAAGCATACATGTAAGAGTGTACTTTCAAGCAGCATGTGGTAGGATGTAGTTTCTGTGAGGTTCCTTATGCATCAAATTGCAAATCGGTGAATGCATTGTAAGAATAGAAAAACAACCGTCTTTGCTTTAAGACAATACTTCTTAGGATTTTGTCTTTTCCTTTTGATGATTTTAGTCAGTTTAAGTTTTAGGTTTTCAAAGTTGTGTTNTTATCGCTTTTTATTGCAGAACCAAAATTCCAGCTGACATTGAACATCAAAACTGCTTGCAACTTTCGTCCAATGAGAAATTGCCACATTCAAGTAAAGTTTGTGACATCACTCCTAACAACGCTGCGTCAATGGTCTGGCTTGATGCATTTTAGCAAGAGTATCTTAGCCTGTGATATCCTGCGACCACGGAAAGCAGACTATTTTTGTTCAGTTGATTACAGTCAGTCATCACATCTCGCCAAGGTACTGTAAGGGATATTGGAAAATTGTGTATCTGTTACTCAGCTTACCTTTATGTCCACAGAGGTAATTGAGGTATTTATAATATGCCATAGTTTGGGTACGCCCAGTTAGTCTGTAAAATAGTAAATACCTTTCTTTATTTGCATACAAAGTAGCTTTGGTGGAGGAACCCCCAAAGGTATTAAAACTAGTTGATGTTATGTTTTGCTTGTTTGTTTGTTTCACAACCTTTATATAGTGATCGGATTCCATTACTTTCAATATTCAATTTACAGGAATACAATGGATCACAAGAAAAGGTCATCTCTACTGCAGCGAATGCTGTCCACAAGCCCTTCCCTATACCACGTATTTGCCTAGTGCAGGGACCTCCAGGAACAGGGAAATCATTCACCATTGTAGGTCTAGTCAAGGAGATATTGAGTGTAAGTTGCAATATGTGGTCAGAAATTTGAATTTGTGTTCTGTTCTCTTTTCTTGGATACAAAGCAATTCGTTTTACGCTTATTACCACANGCAGATCCTAGAAAATGCATCCTCGTCAACAACAGAGGATAATTTAAACAGTACCAAAGAAAAGCTTCAAAGCACTGCTGCTAATGAGAAGATATTACAACGTGAAATTTGGATATTACAGACGTCGCCTCAATCCAATGAGTGTGAGGTATTTGTTGTACTTTCTTGTTATTTTGTGGTAAAATACCTGCTTTGGAAGCCAGGGTTGCCACACGTCAGGAAATGTTCAAGGAAAAATTATTTTGAGTTAGCGAAAATTGACATTTTGAAGAAAGTCAGGGAACTTCCGAAAATTGAAATGATTTAACACGGCTGAGTTTAGGTGTAATACCATTGAAGGCTGGAAGAAACATTTTGTGGTCACAGCTGTGATCTCAACAGTGTTTATCCTTACTGAAGAAGGAAAATGTGTTGAGAACTTATCAGTCTTAATGAATGAGTGGAAAGGAAGGCTGTAAGGGAGGTTAGAAGTATTTGGTATTTATTTCGTCGGGAAATTGTTTCTTTTATGTCAGGGAAAAGTCAGGGAATTTTGAAAAGTGATGTCTGTGGCAATCATGTTCAAATTTTACAGTCAACTCTGTTAACAAGACACCTTGGGGACCAGTACCTGCCTTTGGTAGAGAGGTGTCTTGCCTTGAGGGAGCCAGGCTAAAGGAAGGGAACCAGTTTTGATTCAAAAAGTGTGTTTCCAAGCCGTGCTGCATATTCAACATTAATAGTGCGGCCAGCAAAGCATTTCTCAAGTTCCAGATTAGTAGTTGTCTACAAACCAATGCGTCTGTCATAAAGAAGTGACTGTTTAGACAGGGCTCACTGAATTTGCAAATACTGGTCTAATTGTGATGTGTTATCAACAGCTCGAGAAACTGGAAACCAAAAAGGCAAACCTCATCAAACTCAAAAACACCCTGGAGCAGCAGTACCGTCGAGAGAAAGACAAGAAAGCCAACAAGCGTCGGGAAGAATCACGGATAAGAAAAGAAATCCTTCAGTGTGCTGATGTAATCTGTACCACTCTGAGTGGGGCTGGTAGTAGCAGCTTGAAGCAGGACCTGGCAGGACGGTGAGAACTGCTATATTGTTACTTTTTAAGCCATGTTAGACTGCTGGCAGCCGGTCATAGTCAGATGAGTGTTTATCAATGAACACGAACACATAAGGGCAGTATGGATGTGTTTCTTCTTGTGAGTGCCACACTCATTTCTCGTCCCAATCCCTTCTAGCCTGCCTTGCCTTGTAATCCTTGCCTCATTTCGAGAGAAAGACAGAATGTCAGCAGTCTTAAGTCATATTGTCTTGAGTCAATATTCTCAAAGGAAATGTTACTGAACCTTTGGAAAAACGTTCTGAGAAGGATAAGATATCTTTAGATAAACTCTCTTGCCGATCAGCAACAAAATGTTTTGTTAAGAGTAAATTCGTCACGCCTACAGCCGAACGAAGGATGAAAGAAGCCAGTCTAAAAGAACATACAATGCAACTCATTTATAGCCTTCCGTTTAATGTTACCAAGACACTAGACTCGCCATTTTCCAATACAAAATAATTCATCACATTCTTCCCACAAATTCGACACTTTTTAGAGATTCAATCAAGGAACATGATAAATGTCACCTAAAGACAAACGTTAACCCATCTTTTTGCTACCTGTTCGGAAGCTCGGCTTTTTTGGTCTCTCTTTACTAATTGGTGGAGCTCNCAGTCTAAAAGAACATACAATAAAATTCATTTATAGCCTTCCGTTTAATATTACCAAAGACACTAGACTCGCCATTTTCCAATACAAAATAATTCATCACATTTCTACCCACAAATTCAACACTTTTTAGAGATTCAATCAAGGAACATGATAAATGTCACCTCTGTGTAGAAAGACAAACGCGAACCCATCTTTTTGTTACCTGTTCCGAAGCTCGGCTTTTTTGGTCTCTCTTTACTAATTGGTGAAGCTCCTAAAACGGAATTAACACTCTCGATAAAATTGAATTAATATATGGCGTGACAGATCACTTCGCTCGTCATCTTGGCTTAAACCTCTGCTTGATTATAGCCAAATATTATTTATATACTGCCTCAAGAAAAGAAGAAGAGTTTTATTTCGATGCCTTGTTAGCGATTTTGACAAACAAAATTAAGATTGAGAAACAGAAATCTAAGTCACAAATCAATATGTGAGAAAGCCTCCTATCGTAGCTAACCCCCTACATGAAAGTAATGCAAGATATTAACAAATTGTAAATAATGTTAGTATTGTAAGTTTTGTTGGTACCGTATTTTTAAATTGTAAGTTACGTTAACATTGTAAGTAGAGTAGGCATTTTTTTTTCGTATCTAATGTAATGTTATTGCAATAAATTATAATAATAATAATAAAAATTCTGATGAAGAGATCTCGTCATAATCTGAGCTTTCACTGCCTTCACTAGATACATTGGCCACGCTTTCCGCCATTCCTGTAATAGTTTTTGTCGAATCTAGCTCGTGACCCTAAACGATATNCACCAGCTTTTAACAATGACTTGATTTGTTTTTAATTTACCTTGTTTTGTCACGTTGTAGACGTGTCTGCCCTTTCACTTGTGTTATCGTGGATGAGGTAAGACTGGAATCAAATAGACATATTTTTGTTTATTCTTGTTCTTTTGTTGAAGCTGTTGTTATTCTACTTATGTATGTTATCCATTGTCGTAACCTCGTAACTAAAATTTAATATTGTAACTGGCCACGAGAGACGTTCCTATCAAAACATTCCTTTCGTAAAAAAAATGTTCCTTTTTCTGAAATGACTGTTAAAGAAAATTGCCATGTATGTATCAAAAGAAAACAACAGCAGAATAAACGTGGAATTTCTTACAAAAAACTAGTATTTTGCAGGCCTGTCAGTGTAATGAACTGGATTTACTCATACCACTGTGGTTTCAAGCATCCAAACTGGTGCTCGTTGGAGATCCCGAACAGTTGCCGTCCACTGTATTGTCAATGGTATGTCAAAGCTAAGTCAGTGTTTAGTTCCGCTGCTTGCTGTTTTTCTATCGTTTTGGAGTAATGTTACCGTTTGGGTCGTATCCTCTTTAGTTTCTCAAGCCTTTACGTATCAGTTTTGGCAGATCACGCAGGTGTGTTTGGCTGAAACTGTCAATCTCTGAATCTCTTTGTGAAGTTAATTTATAATGTAGTTAAATGAAATTTAACATAGTTAACGACTAGGAGCTAGTCTGGTCAGTAGCGTTTTT